CATTAGTGCATAATTTTAACAGTTAGCCCCAACATATCTATATTACCCCTCTTTTGGGAATATAACAACTAATGAGATTCAAGTAATAAAAATGGCAAATGCTGTGTAAATAAGTCTTTTTTATACAACACTTTCAGTACCTACAGCCTCTGCTTCTCCAGATTGAGAAGTCACAGCTGCGATGGCTTGCGTATGTGTTGCGAATGCCTCCAGAAAGGAAGGCTAAGCAACTGTTCCTTACAAATCCGACCGGAAAAAGGCCCAGGGGACGGCCCAAGATTAACCTGGTGCAAACATATGGAAGGAATCTGTTCCAGACTGCATTTGTCTTTTGACGAAGCTCGGACTCTGGCACAGGATCGGGAACGTTGGAAGCACTGTCTGACGCGTCTGCCTCCGCTACCCGAAAGGAGAAGCGGTGATGGAAAATGATGATGATGATGACTTTCAGTTCCTTGTTGAGTAACTCACGCCTTGACTGATTTGGATTGTTATTAATAGAGTTCACAATATTCGAGCAGCCAATAACCAAAATTTTAAATAGGAAATTTTAAATGTTTAAGTGTTACGAGATTAAGACAGAAGTTATCCACACCACTGACGATGGTGCCATCGCCAAATGTTCATATAACGAACGAATCTTCCAAGGCCAGAATTTATGGCGTATTGCACCGCCCCTTTGATAAGGGAAGAAAGAACGGACATTCAAGCAGACCACGGCCGAGTGGTATCTTAGCAGATGCTGTGACATATGCATTTCCAATCAATTTGCCTATTACAGCGCTCATCACGAATGACGTTTCATGAGCTGGTACTCCTCATATTCTAAATAAATATCATACGCTGGTCGTTCGCCCGGGTAGGTCCCTTCTAAACGGAGAAACAGGTGAAGTTTCAGACTTTCACTCTGATAGGTTCCCGTACATCTGGGTCGTGCTCATGGGTGATAGAAAATGGGAGAATGAGATCTACCTTTTACTGGGATGGCTAGCGGAGTCCTGGCGTGAACTCGCCCCAATCGTTTTGACTAAGGCAGAGAGGAGCCTCAAGACTAAGTTCGCTGTGTTCAAGTCGATTTTCAGCCTAATACGGACCTACAGTCATAAGTCGTTTGCCATGACTAAAGACGTTGATATCGGGCATAAACGGCTTGAGGGCGGCTAAGATTAAACTGGGGCAAGTGTATGAAACGATTTTGCTCTAGACTTGAAGATTATCTTTTGCAGAAGCTCAAACGCCCAAACAGGGGACGCCTGTCCTCGGACCCGAAAGGATAACCATTTATCAGAACTGACTGAAGAATAGAAATCAAAAATTTAATCACAACTTAGGTCGGAGTTCACCACAACAGCTCACAAAACTTCAAGTTTCGAGAGACTCTTGACACTTACAAAACCCATTCATGAACTGCATCCGACTAGCAAGAACTTCTACAATGATGAAAAGGTACCGAACCTTAACTTTCAAATCAATTTAATTAATACTCTTCTTTCTTGGTAAATATTTCATCGAAATCTCGGAAGCCTGCCAACTAACTGGGTGACTAGGTAGTTAGGAACTCAACTAGGCAGCTAATAAATTACGCTACATAAATTATAAAAGAGAAACTAACTAGTATTCAAGAATAAATGCAAATTTATGCACATCAGCGCGTTGGTTACCTTCATCGTCCTGAACGAAGACATTTTAGAAATTCAGAGGCCTAACAAAATGCACAGAAACTTTTAACGTTCGGATTCGCACCATAAGCGACAGTAGGACATCTCAGCAATTCGGCAACGACTGTTTTAAGCTGAAATCAACGTTTCTAAAAAGCCTTTGAATCAGTAGGGTACGGTACAACAGATTCTAAGGAACATGCTCACTTACCTCGTGCAATCACGAATATTTTTTATAGCCGCTATAACAGCATACTTGGGCTATACAGTCAGAGTAAACTTTCAGGAAAATTAATTTTTAAATACGGCTTTTAATGATTCGGTCGTCCTGTATCCTATAAAATGAGGCACTGCAACGTGCAAAAAGAGTAAATCGATAATGTTCTAATGGTCGTCATACTGAAAAGGGCAATACTGAATACACCGACTGTCTGCTTTTCCACAAAGTCACAACACTGTGACGTCCTGGTAGCCGTCAATAAAGCGCGATGGATTGAGACCCTTTCGCAGAATGAACCGCATACCATAGCTGTACAATATTCTTATCGTAATATGTTGTAGTTTTGCGAATATATTCGGTTAATCAGTCATTGTTCCTTTTGCCTATCATTGTTATAATGAGTGTCATTAAAATGGATTGATAATCTGGATTATCCATGTTGTAGTAATATATAGACGTTTTGCAGCATTATCGAAATATATCATGCTGCAATATGGTCGTGTCTGAATCGCTTCCATGATAACAATGAGTTATTTAACTAACTGACCATTGCAGTTTTTTGATAGGTTTTTACTGTCGTAATGACTGGTAACATAAAACAGATACCTAAAATGGTAGACTTCCGACACACTGGCATTCTGTCATGAGATACGGGGTTTGGTGCAACAGTTGCAGTGATGTCGACTTCACATTTCGGACGTCATAACCTTCTCTTTTCATGCCGATTTCCTTAACAATCATACTCCTATGACATTGTCATACCAAAATGGGCAAGTGGCAGGACAATGCTGAATAGGCTGTTTGTCTCTCCTGGCCGCTGTACGCTCTGATCTACCTGAAAGTTGTGCACATTTAACATTCAGCAGAGAGGTGCAACGGCTGTTGTGATCTTGATGATCTCGTAGAAGAAAACATATGAACAACGTTGGATATTCTCTGCAATCGGGCTTAAGATGGCCTCTTTATCAAGTAGAAAACTGTCTGCCTGTAAAATGCGTCTGTTCAGAAGCTTTGAGAATGATCACAAAACAATCCATTGTTTATGATGGCTGATCCAATCACCCAGGATTCGTTAATCTTGTGGTTTGAAAGGCTTGAAACACTTTTTATGCAGTTGTATCATTCTTTATTTGTTAATTGGTTAGACCATTTCTACATGTTGCCATTATCTGCTTTGATTACGTAAAGAGAAGTAAGAAGTTACGGCAGATACAATATAGTGACTTCTTTGTCAGGTTTGATTTCCATTTAGCTGTAAAATCGCTTAGAAAATCATAGTTTTCATTCATAATAATTCCTGTCGGCAAACAATTTACTAGTCCGATGCAAATCCACGTTCATGTATGCACATTTGCTGTTGCACTCTGTTAAACGGGATATGTTCAATACCTTGACTTCTAAGGAAACTTCGCTGAATCGCTGATCGACTTATTACTGTTTTGGGTTGACGTTTGACGACGTCTGACTAAATGAGCGGACTAGGTCCGTTCGGGATCAAAACGTTATTCAACGCGGGCATTTAATTGCGAGAGTGCAGCTCGTTCATCATTGTCTACGTTGCGATGCTGACACATTAATAATTCAGTAGAACAGTGTTGTAACTTCTTCGTAAACCATGACTACAACAGATTTCGATATACCTAAATGAAGTTCACAAACTTGAAATATGACAACGTTGTTAATCCTACTTCGGATTCTGTAGTGTTGGCGCATTTTTGAATCTGAAATAAATTGTTCTCGTAATTAAAATAAAATTCTACTTAAACCAACTGATGCTTGCCAAATTAAACTGAAAATCATTGTTGAGAATTCATAGTAAATTTTATTTTTTGAAGAATACATTCTATCTTAAAAAGTATTGTGGGCTGTTTAAACATCACTTGATTTCGACCATACTTTCGGGTCCTTGTCCTAATACAAAATCATTCACAATACATCGAGAGCAGCTACGAATATAGCTCCAAAGTTGTTTGTCATCTATAAGCTTGAAGATAACTACGCAAGGTCTGACCTGGGTAAGAAATGATTTGACATTTTGTGACGTAAAGCATTGCGGATTTTTCTCATACTTCAACGGCGGTTGCGTATTGCCTAAAATATACCGGAAAGATTTGAATGATTGGCAAAAAAATGCATTTAAATCGAATAATATTTACAAAATTTAATCAAAAACCAGATGCATTTGAAGCCTTATTCACATCATATTTAAGGCCACCACATTGTCATTACGAAGGATATTCCAGCAGTTGGAATTGCTTCTGTACCTACCATCATTTACGAAATCACTTTAAAACAAAATCTTAAATATTGAAAAGGTGACTTTATTGATAGGTAAACATACTGTCATCTCCCATAACCACTGCTCGTGTCATGTCGCGGAGGCAGGTTCGCAAGACAGTGCAACAGTGCTTCCAGCGTTTTTGATCCTGTGCCAGAGACTGAGCTTCATATGTTTATATACAGTCAGCTAAAAATGGGATAGACTACCATCAATCTTGCAACCGATTGCGAAACTTCATATGCTATGACAACACACTGTTGCGGACGGCGCAATTCGTTGCCTAATGATGCAGATGAGTACCCATACCCCCTACTCCTCGGTGAATTTTAAAAATCCATTAATTACTTTGGAAAATATTTTTTTGTTGGACTGTTTTTGTTTTCACTGCTTTGCAATTCTCAAAATGTCGATTCCATAATCTCTTACGACACTGACATTGTATTTCTGAATTAACATATTTGTCTCCTACCTGCGGATCTACTGTCCATAAGATTTACGATACCCGATGGTCGGTTTGTGGCGTTCCGCAGTGGTCTAGAGTCTCGGTGTCGATGAATTTTACAGATGCCGAGAGGGGGACGGAAGTCCTCAAGCAACTTTATGCACAGAGAGAGACAGGTAGCTTTTGCGACGCAGTAGTTGTGGTGCAAGGCCGCAACTTTCATGCGCATAAATGCGTGCTAGCAGCTACGAGTACGAAGTTGCAGTCGCTGCTGAAGGAACGCGAGGCAGAAGGCGTGGAACAGCGCGTAAAGCTGAAGCTAGAATGTTCCAGCGCCGGCGTGTTTGAAGAGTTCCTTAGGTATCTGTACTCGGGTGTCGTAAAAATCCACGGGGGTAACGCCATTGAATTGCTCGGTCTGGCGCACGATTTGGAGATTTCCTCCTTGCTTCGTTGTTGCGTTGACTACCTCAGGCAATGCCTGAACATTGCCAACTGTATGCTTCTCAGACAGATCGCTGAGAAGTACGCAATCGACGAATTATTGGTCGTAGTGTCGGCGTTTTGCCGGTCTCACTGGTCACAGATCCTCGCCGAATCTGATGAACCTCTGGCGTGGCATTGGACGAGGGTTGAGAAGGAGATCGCCGGTGCGACGGCAGCAGATCCGTCCGGCACCGAACACCTGTTTCGTTTCGTTCTGCGTTGGGTGCTGTACGACTTGCCAGAGCGGGAACGGTTTTTCAAGCAGCTACTATCCTACCTCAATATCTCATACCTGTCCAGCGATTTCATATCTTCAACGCTTTCGTCGAATGAGCTTTTCCGCAGGAGCAACGCCTGCCTAGTAGCCCTGATCGACTTCATGCGCACCTCATCGCAGACCTTCGACGAAACCATTGTTGTCCCCGACGGGGCGAATGTAGCGCAGCTTTCCTCGGCGCCTGTCGTAGCTTCTTGCTCTCCTGAATCCATGGTCGAGACCAAGACCTATGGTGACGCCGGCAGTAGGGCTCCCTCGACCGTCGGGTCCGTCGGCCAGCTATCCTCATCCGGCGTCGTTGTAGAACCCCTAAACTCGGCCGATCGCTGTGAACCGGTCAGCCAGGGCAACGCTACTCTGCAGTGCTTTAAAGTGAACATCGTGAGGGCCGTTTTGAACCGTGCACATAGAGCCCCAACTCCGGTCGGTCTGACTTCGTCAACGTCGTCGGACATGAGTGAATTCATATGTGCTTCAGTATCCGGTTCTACTCGGATATCATCGTCGTCGACTGTTTTCGAGCCGTGTTTTTCCAAGAATGCGAATACCACAGACCGTACCTCAGACTCGGACGCAAGTAAGCTGTGTTCATTTTTCACTAGATCTAAAAGCATAAATTAATATTTGCTGAACAATTGTCTGTAGTGATTCGGTGGCTGTAGACATTATATAGCAACGGTGTTATGCTGAAATCCTTATTTTGCTTGAGCGCGAACTTTCGATGTGATCAGATATCCTGGAGAAGGTTCAAAAACCGTTAATGCGGGACATATAGAAGAAGTGTCTGGGCGAAACGTGTAATTTGGCTAGCAAACCAACATCGATATTTTGGCGCGATCACAAGATAGATATTGCGAAAAAGGTAACCTGTGTCCTTCGTTAATTAGATTTATTAGTTAGTACAAGCGTCAATAAAACAGACTGATTTATTGAATGAAACGAAAAATAACCAATAATAATAAAATTGAGACAGAGCAGAAAAACTCGTGATTTGCCATTGATAGTCAGTGGCAAAGTTGTTCATTATCAACGGTGTGAAAAATATGATTTCACCGATCAGCCATAAATGAAACTTCTGTGTATTACAAACGAAGGATGGGTATGGATGAATCCTTTATATCTGATTTTCGGGATTTCCAAGGTAAAAGATAAGAACTCAGTTTTCATCCCTCAAAATTCGTGTCGAAGCGGATATATTCCCATATTCTTAGAAGTTGGGTTTTGACTTGACAAGTTTTATTTTGCCCCGTTTAAGAGTGATCGGAGTAAAATTTGTGCAGTCGCACTGCTTATTGGCATTGTTGGGTAAAATATGGACTGTGACAGATTTTCGGTTCATGGAATTTACCTCAGCTTTCAACATTATTCCACACCAACGGCAATAAACAAAGTCGACATTCGAGGCTTATCTCATGGCTTTGCGATTATTTTTCGCATCGGTCTCAGTTTGTAACAGTTGGTAAAAGTAAATCTGCAGTTGTTCCAAGCAACTGATATATACCAATAATACTACCCTCATCTTTGCTATTAAATCTAACCTCGACTTAAACTCTTATCAGACGCTGAACCATAAGTAGT